TTTTTTTATTTTATGTCTGTTGCCACTTTTTCTCAGCTCTCACCGGACCGATTTCTTTCAAAAATACGTCAAAAGATCACAAATCGTATCTAGTTGAAGACATTACCCTTAAAAATTGAAAAAAATTCCCTCGTTCCCCGCAAATGGGGGAAATATCCAAAAAAATTACAAATTTAAAAATCGCTAATTTTCGAAATTTTTTCACTTTTTTTTCTTAAAACTTCCATAACTTTTTGAAAAATCAACAAATCAACATAATTTTTTTATATACTAAAACCTTAGATATTTACCTTTCATTTGATATCATTTTTATTTGAAAATCTAATACTTATTCTGCTTACAGGGGGGATTTAAATTAGTAACTTTTTTACAAAAAAAAACTTTTTCAACTTAATTTTTGAAAATGTTCCGGAAATACTGTGTCCTTTAAACAATTAAAGCTTATTTTATGTAATATAAAATGAAAAAAAAAAATTTTCCCGACACTTTATCTTCTGCATGCAAACGGCTGCCGTAGTTAAAAATATGCTATTTTAACTTTTTTTTTTTTTTAATTAAACACTATCTACAGATTTGCATCGAAGCGTTTCTTATGATAGTGATTTTAATCACTGTCAGATTAAATCTATACTGGACCCAACTATGCAACGTCCCCACTATGCCACGACCCCACTGTGCTGGGTTTTTTTTTTTTATGTCTGTTGCCACTTTTTCTCAGCTCTCACTGGACCGATTTCTTTCAAAAATACGTCAAAAGATCACAAATCGTATCTAGTTGAAGACATTAACCTTAAAAATTGAAAAAAATGCCCTCGTTCCCCGCAAATGGGGGAAATATCCAAAAAAATTACAAATTTAAAAATCGCTAATTATCGAAATTTTTTCACTTTTTTTTCTTAAAACTTCTATAACTTTTTGAAAAATCAACAAATCAACATAATTTTTTTATATACTAAAACCTTAGATATTTACCTTTCATTTGATATCATTTTTATTTGAAAATCTAATACTTATTCTGCTTACAGGGGGGATTTAAATTAGTAACTTTTTTACAAAAAAAAACTTTTTCAACTTAATTTTTGAAAATGTTCCGGAAATACTGTGTCCTTTAAACAATTAAAGCTTATTTTATGTAATATAAAATGAAAAAAAAAAATTTTCCCGACACTTTATCTTCTGCATGCAAACGGCTGCCGTAGTTAAAAATATGCTATTTTAACTTTTTTTTTTTTTTTAATTAAACACTATCTACAGATTTGCATCGAAGCGTTTTTTATGATAGTGATTTTAATCACTGTCAGATATCATCTATACTGGACCCAACTATGCTACGACCCCACTGTGCCGCCACCCCACTGTGCTAGGTTTTTTATTCTGGTAAAAACAACAAAAAAGCAGTTTTTTATTTGTAAAACTAAAATATCAAAGAGATATAAAATTAATTATTTCATACCATATCAAATAATTATGCAATTTATCTACTTAGATATAAATCACACTTTAATTTCAAAGTTTCACTTTAGCTTTTCATAATATACATATTAATATAATCATTACAAAATAGATTTTCATTTTGCTTGAGAGGTATATTCATCTTCAAGTTCATTAACCATAATTAACAACTTAATCTTAGCTTCTTTAATGGCTTTTTTTGGTAACTTTTTCACGGTTAAAGCTAAACTTTTAAAAAAGAGATCCACATCATCATCCTCGTGTCTTTGATGATTTAAAACTATTTGATTTTGCTCCATTTTGATATTTTCTTTTGATCTATTGGCTGAAGCTACTGAAAGCTTATCTAATATATTCAATTTATGCTTATCGACCAAATTACTCAGGTGATTTTCATTAAACTGAGGAGAAACGTTTGATTTAGAAATGGAACATATTAGAGTATCAAATTCAGTTTCTTCTACTTTCTTAGTGTTTTCTTCCTCATTAGATGCAGAGCTAGAAAACAAATTATACCAGTTTTAATTAATTAATAAAAAATAAATAAAAATTACATACTTCAGTGTAATTTTTTTCAAAAATGACATACATTCCAATTTTTTTTTTTTTGGACTAGTTGACCCTATACTAAGTTTTCTTTTGTTGCAAATATGTGAACTTTTTATATTTTCACATATTTTTTGGCAATCGTCCACTATATTATAATAAAATGTTATTATTTTGATACTATATAATGTATAAGGTGCATATAAAAAAGAATAAATGAATGTTTTTTAATTTGATGATAGATTTCGAGTTCTGAAATTTTATTTTAACACGTGAAAAAAAAACATTTTCATGATAAGTGTTTGTTTTTCCAAATTTTTATCATAAGAGAGAATTATTAATTTTCTGTTTGATCATACACTTAAACTTGATTTTTATAAAAATGCCTCTTATATTATAATTTAATAAGCTTTTTATTATAAGGACTCTGTATTGTACTATTAAATTCTGGTTAAATTTTTTCGTAATTATTATTACGAAAAAATTTAGGGTATTAGAAGAACTCAAAATTAAAAGTATTATTCTTAAATAATAATATTCTAATCTTATAAAAGAAGAAAAAAATGTTTTTTATAAGTTAAGTATCTAGGGGGAGTTAAGAGCCAACTATTTATTGACCATGCAATGCCTGCATTGTTAATAAAAATAACCTATAAAAAAGATTATCAATTTTTGGTATTAGTCCATCTTTTAATAAAAATTCTAGGTATGCTACGGGTTTTTGTTATACTTTCGACAATTTCTAATATTTAATTATTAAAAAGTGGTTAAAAAGAATTTCCTTTTATGGGTTTTTAATTTTATTTAATTATTTAATTTTATAAAGCTCAACGTTTTTTAAAAATTTTAATTTAATATTGACAAATAAAATAATAAATTCAATTAAACAGTGTAAAAATATATATAGTAGGAACTCACCGGATTTTCCAATCGTGTTTTCGATATTTTCCGATAGTTCATTTTTGTATGTTATATCTTGGGTTGTGTTAATTAATGGATCATTTTTATGAACTTCTTTGATTAACTCATCCTCTTCCTCTAGAGTAAATTTTAATTCTATTGTACTAATTGTGGGTAATGATTCAACTGCATAGTTATCCGTCTGAAGTTCTCCATGGTCACAACTACTATATTCAATCATGCTGCCACCATTGCGTTCATTAAATCGGATATTTTCAATGGTATCACTTATTTTGTGTCTATTCAAATATTTGTTCTCAACATAATTTAAAAAACCATTATAATGAACTATAACGAGACCGTTTAACTTTTTACGTTTTTTTGCGTCATACTTAAACCATACTTGGCGTTTGAAATATGGGTTACTTCTACACTTATAAAATATTCTGTATAAAAGAGAATCACGGTTTTTGGTTGTTTTTGGAAATTTGGAGTGACCCTGATCACACCAACTGTATTCATCAAATTTCCATACATTGGGGTTATTTTCATTATTATACACATAAATTTGGCCTGGTTTAGGGTTGATGGGAGGTGTATATGAAACGTGTCCTCCCAATTGATCCAAAAATAATTCATGATATTTATGCCAATTAAAAGATTTTACTGAAAATGAGTGTAATTTTGCAGGAATTGTTTCCTTATCTAAATCCATGAGTTCATTTTCGTACTGTTTTTTAACGTCTGGTAAAATTGTTATTTTACATGTTTCATTAACGTCTGACGATGATTCTGATTTTATTGAGTAATTTAGATTTGTTTTATCGTCATATTCTTCATTTAAAAAAGACTCCTCATTTTTAATTGTTATTACTGAGTTGTTTAAAAAATTTGTTTGGTCTTGTACATCATCGATAAAATTTATACTTATCTGGCTGCGTTTAAGTGTGTAGTGAATCAAAGAATAACTTGCATTATGTTTCTCGCTTAACAGTGTGTACATTTTTTTGCATAAATTATTGGATGTGTAGTATCTACACATAAGTTTAGTGTTATTTTGAAGTGATAGTTTTCTTGTACCATTAGAAGTCCATAGAATTCCATCGAAAAGATTTGAATATATCTTTTCCATAATAAAAATATATACACTATTGTTCACTGGTTCGGGACGGTTAACTTTCATGTTTTCCATAAGGATAGTACTTTTAATTAAACGTAACGCATCTAACTTCTTAATAATTTCTCGGTCGTTTAGACGAAATATATCACCGACATTTATAACACAATTTTGGTCAGTCAGTAAATAATCTTTTATTAAAGAGCTCATTTTATTAAAATATATAGTTACCACAATCTTTTAAAGTTTTAGATTAATACCAAAAACTAATGGAAATCAATCGACAAAAGAAAAATTAAACAATAAAATATAACTGATTTTTTGAGAGCGTGTGTAGTTATGTGTCCGCTTTTGATTTGGAATAGACTGGATTGTGTATGATACGTGGATAACCTTGGAAAATGTACGCGATACGTTATTTCACATAGTACATATATGTACCTAGTAACATTTGTTAGAGATAAGATACGTTCAAACAAATATAAATCGTGGATACGATCGGTAAATAGTGTATACGCAGGAATAATAAAGGTAGGGATATGGAATAACACTGCAAACAACGGTTAGCATACGAAGAGGAATGAAATCGTCCAATCCGCATACAGAATGTTCACTGTAAGATATACAACTGGTGTGTTCTTATAGAACGGGAAATATTAAGCATTTTAGTGATGGAGTGAACATATTGGTAACACTGTAGTTAAATGTCTTTAGAATGGAAAAAATATATTGTCAATTCTTATGTAGTTAAGGCTGTTTTGTGTCACTAATCTTAAAAGTTTAAATGATTTTTCTAAATATATAATTAGATCATACTTAACAGTTACTGTGATACAAATAAAAAAATTCGTAAGATTTTTTTAAGTGTGCTACTTTTTTACAATTATAACATAATCCTCGGTAGTATAGTGGTAAGTATCCCCGCCTGTCACGCGGGAGACCGGGGTTCGATTCCCCGCCGTGGAGTAGCTTTTTTGCATATTTTGACAAATTTGTATTGAATTAATTCGATTTGATGTCTTAATTACTAAAATAATAATTATTTATAATTATTATCTATCAGACAAAAAATCAACATGTTTTCTATTGCAAAATATTGACTTCATTATATTTTATTTTAAATTCTGAACAAAAATATCTAATTTTAATAATTTTATTGAAAAACTGTTTATTAGATGTAAAATTTTGTAATATAATATTTTACAAATAATTTTTTTATATTGTTTAATCAATATTTGGAAATAATATTCTTTATAAACAAGTAATTTTTATTTGCGTAAAAATTAAAAATAAAGAAATTTATTAATTTAATGTAGGTCATAAGAAGTCAGGTTTTTTGGTACACTGTCAAAAATTGGTTATACTCCCTTTGTATACTTAGTTAAATGATTTGATTTTCAAAAAAGTATGTCGTTGGCAAGGTTAATGCCTAAAGTAATATCAATAAAAATTTTGCAATAATTCAATGACAATAAAAGGAAAGAGGATTAGAAGATAAACTCCTTATTGTCAAACATTTTTGTTATTTATAATTTATACTTTGGAAACTTTATATATAATTATTCAATTTAAAAGTTATTCAGCATAATTTATATAAAAAATAATAATCCTACAAATTTGATCATTTTTTAATTATATATATAAGCTAGTTAAATATGTATGTAGCCGTTTAAATAATATAATTGACTTCCTTACAAAAGTATAATAGATGAAATAAGAAAGTAATTAATATCTAATAATTCAGAAAAATATGAAAATATACCAAAAATGTTTTACTCAATACTATTATTATTTTAAGAGAAATTAAATGGTTAGTGTTTAAAAAAATCATATAGGCACTGCTGCGTAGCGGATATTATTTGAACTAATAGTTTATGATATTGTTTGAAGATAATGTTACCTTAATATTCTATTCATATTTTTTTTAAAACATAGTTTTATCATCAATTTAAAAGAGTTGGTGTTATTACAATCATAATACCTATAGTTCTTGCATGAGTGTTTGAATGAAAACTTAAAACTATTCATCGAACAGTTGCAGTTTTAAATGACTTTTAGAAAAACGTTAAAATGAAATATTATAAGACGTCACAATTATAGAGCCTATTAGCAACCTATAAGCACACGTTTGAAGATATTAGAGGTTCTAAATCCTCAAAGTCATTTATTCACATCCCTGTTATTATTATTATGTTTTGCTAATTCTGCGATTATTACAAAGCCAGAAACTCAATTATGGTCATAAATAAAAATTTTAGTCACCTCAAGATTTGATCTGAATACACACATATGTCTTTTCTCAATACTTTAAATTCAGTAATTTTTTAATTTATGTGAATTTTTTTGATAATCGTACCTTTATCGTGCTAAACATCATTTTACTTATAGTAACTCAAAATGAGTATATAATTTATGGAATTTTGTATGATAATTGAGTTACTATATATTTATTAAACAAAATAATATATTTTAGTTTTATTTTGGGGAATGAGTACAAGGGTTTTATCAGAATATGTAGGATATAGAAAAACAAAGTGATACGTGAACATTGATTAATATAATTATAATTTGATATGGAAATTGATGTAATTAATCATTACACTTTAAATGTAATAATCAAAAAAGCTACTTGTACCAATTATATAATCTTGTGTTGATTGTGAGTGGTGACAATAATTACCTCGAGAAGTATAGGAATCACAAGTGGGTTCTCTATTTTCTCAAGAGAGTCTTTATTTGTAAATGATAATAATTAACCAGCTCAGTCGAATTTTTAAGTGGGTTACCTGTATGGTCAAGAATAATAATTTTATATTATTTTAAATATTTTATATATAATTTTAAATATTATTATTTATTTGAAGCAAGACAATTTTCTAATTTAATTAAATATAAAATAAAATGGGTTACGAAATACAACCCGAAGGCTGTTTGACTATGTTAAATTTTAAAAATGTAAAAATAATTATAGTAAAATTTGTTTTAAAAGATAAGTATAATATTCTATTATATTAGAAAAAATAGACAAATCATGATTTTTATTATAAATAATAAAATAGCGGCGAATTGGAGAATATGAATAATTAACAAAAATTATTAGTCAATCTATTTTACAATAGAATTGTAAATTATAATTATTAAGAATTAGATCTGATTTGTTATTTATAAGGTACGTCTCTTATGAATGCATTATTAAATAATATCATTCGAGAATTAACCTTTTATATTAAATTGTTAATAATCTTAAGTATTTTCGTTTATAATCATTATAAAGTAGTTATATATTATGAATAGAATTTAATACAAAGAATATTCATTATTAAGTAATTATTGAAAGTTTTAATTTTTAATAATCTAAATTAAAATTGGTAATTTTTTTTATTTTGTAAAAACTCAAAGATACACTGATCACTATCATTTATGTTTGTAAAGTTTTAGTCAATTATCAATACATCGCTATTAAAATTTGGTTAGTAACACATATTTACTTATAGATAAAAATACCATTTTTTGTTCCTTGGAAAATATTTTTATTATAAATAAATAGCAAAATTTTTGCAATTAGCAAAATACTAACTTGTGCCTTTTTTCATAAAAAACATTCAAATTTTTGTATTACCGTAATTATTGTTTTTTATTTAATAACAATAGTTTAAGTGTTTTTAAATAAAAAAATTATATATACAGAATGATTTTTTTATCATAACCTACTCAATTACTTACAGAATAATAATAATTTAAAATTTTTTTTTATTATTATCTTTAGTTACACATTATTCTTGAATTATTAACTATGTAATACTTTTTAAGTTCATCCCTTATGCCTAGTAAGGGTGTCAACTTTGTTTTTTTAAATGGTAACACATATTTTTAATTTAATAAAATGTTTGAGTTTTTAATGCAATAGTAAATGGCATTTGAATTTTTAATGAAACTTAATTTGTTTATTAGATATAAACATTTCAAGTTTCAAATTTTTGAGTTAATATACAGGGTGGCCCACCACTCACTGACAACTTAAATAACTTTTGATCCAGTTAATATTTTCAGCTGATTTCTTTTTTAAATATTAGATAGACGTTAGGTCTATAGCTATATCTCAATAATTAATTTTTTTACATTTTATTAAAAATATTAATTATTTTTAAATTTTAAATAAATTGTAAAAAAAAAATCTAAGATAGCTATTTTGTAGAGTAGAATTTAAGAAAAATTTTAGTAAAAAAATATTTTATTAATATTCAGTAGTAAATATTCTGTAGCGTTTTGAAGTTTGTGAAAATTTGAATTTTCATGTACTATTTTACGGTATTAAACATTGAAATACGTATTGAGAAAAGGACAGAAGAAAACGCTATCTTTTCAATATACTTTTGAATGAGAGTGATAAGTAATAATTGCCTTATCTAATTTCTTATCATGGTATTTATGCCAAGTTTGTAATGTATACACACTATCATCATATGTATACACAGTAATCATGAAAAGATAGCGTTTTCTTCTGTCCTTTTCTCAATACGTATTTCAATGTTTAATACCGTAAAATAGTACATGAAAATTCAAATTTTCACAAACTTCAAAACGCTACAGAATATTTACTACTGAATATTAATAAGATATTTTTTTACTAAAATTTTTCTTAAATTCTACTCTACAAAATAGCTATCTTAGATTTTTTTTTTACAATTTATTTAAAATTTAAAAATAATTAATATTTTTAATAAAATGTAAAAAAATTAATTATTGAGATATAGCTATAGACCTAACGTATAACTATTATTTTAAAAAAAAATCAACTAAAAATATTAACTGGATCAAAAGTTATTTAAGTTGTCAGTGAGTGGTGGGCCACCCTGTATAGGTATAATACACAAGGGTATACAAATACAGGTAGCTAATTGGTTTTTTATGATATTGCTATCACAGTCACGGATTGTTTATTATCAATTATGACTATCAATAGATATACTTTTTGTATTGTCAGTTAGTGTATTTATAAACTCACAACAATGTACCTTACTATCATTGATAATAACAATGTTGTGTACCTGCTAATATCGATGTCATAAAAAACCAATTAGCTACCTGTATTTGTAATCCCTTGTGTATTATACCTATATATTAACTCAAAAATTTGAAACTTGAAATGTTTATATCTAATAAACAAATTAAATTTCATTAAAAATTCAAATACCATTTACTATTGCATTAAAAACTCAAACATTTTATTAAATTCAAAATATGTGTTCCCATTTAAAAAAACAAAGTTGACACCCTTACCAGGCATAAGGGATGAACTTAAAAAGTATTACATGGTTAATAATTCAAGAATAATGTGTAACTAAAGATAATAATAAAAATATGTTTAAATTATTATTATTCTGTAAGTAATTGAGTGGGTTATGATAAAAAAATCACTCTGTATATATATGATTGATTTATTTTGTAAGTATACCTTTTAAAAAACTTTTCATTTAATATCTGTTTATAGCCATTACTTTTATTTGTGAATTTGTGATTTTCGTTTTTTGTTCTTCTATTTGCATTATTATTTTGCGATATACTCTAATCATTTCACTATTGACCACAATAAAACGTCGTAAAAAAAAAAAAAAAATTATATTTTATTATTTTTGTGTATATATTTTTAGAATTTTGTTAATTTTTCATACAATATGGTATCTTATTACTTCATAAAAATAATATAATACAATAAAAATAAAATGAAATTTTTAAGTCACCCTAATAAGTAACTAAAAAAAAAAATGCAAAAAATTTCCTCTCCCCGGCGGGGAATCGAACCCCGGTCTCCCGCGTGACAGGCGGGGATACTTACCACTATACTACCGAGGATTACGTTAATCATGAAAATTTGTACAATATTTGAATTTCTTAAATAATATAAAATATTAATTTATACTAAAAATTTGTTAAAATAAAACTTTAATTATTATACAATATGAGTTTAAATTACTGTATAGAATTTTTATTTTAATTGAATATGCTTTTATTTATTATAGTCGGTTCTAGAAAATATAGTAAAATGAGCAATATTTTTTCGTTATACCCTTTTTTTATGGGGAAAAAATATTAGGTCCTCGTCATAGCATCTACTGAGTAAAATCTCAACAAGCTTTTTTTTGTTGTGATAGCACAATTAATAAAAAAAGAAAATACTATTTTATGAAATATATATATATATATATATATTTACTATCACTGGTCTTCCTAAAATGCACACCTGATAATTCCACCAGAGGATTTCAAATATTTAATAAATTCTCTTAAACATTTGCTGACTCTCAGTACTCATATTTTTTTTAGTTGAAGATAGTAATTCTGTAGTTAGTATAATTATTTTAACATCACAAGATAGTGTAAGCAACAAATTCAAAATAATTTTTTTTTCAAAATTAAAAAGTTTAAAATTAGATTGGTCTGAAAATTATTTTTCAATTTTAGGGTCACTCATAAACAAAGAAATTGATTTTAGTCATTTTAACTATAAATAAAAAGATGGGTTTAAAGGTCTATAATTAAGTAAAAAACACGTAATATAACATAATTATTATCTAATATATGTTATAAAAAAACACATAGCAACAACAACTTTATTAATTTTTAATATATTCTTAAAGCAAACAATATCTAGATTGATAATACATTTATATATACATACATACAGAGTGATTCATTAAGGGTAGGAAGACGCTCAATTTCTGGGTTGGATTTAACAGAGAATTGTTTTGATTGAAAAACTACAATAATATGTAGTTAAATCAATTTTTTTTCATCCTTTCAGAGATAAAAACCTTAATATTAATTATCTTAAATGAGAATCTCTATTTTTACTTGTTAGTTTAACAGAAAAATAAATACAAACATTTTTGTTCTAATAATTTGTATTTCCCCGATCAACCATTTGTCTGTTTCAGCGTGTTAAAATTAAGTATTTTTAAACCAAATTTTTGTTGTGATTTTACTGTTTTGTATACAGAAGTTATTGATAACTATTTATAGACGTATATTATTATATTACACATTGTTAAACGTCCAGTGCCGAAAATTTTTCTTGATAATTTCTATAAAAGTAATGTATGGCTCATTGAAACACATTGTTGTTTCCGGTATTAGAAAAACCAAATTAGTGATGATTTTCTATTTTGAATCCAAATCTTAAAATTTGAAAAACCAATAGTTGATAGGATAAAAAAAATTATAAGAATAAAATTGTCTGTACATTTTTTTCTATCAAATTTTTTTGATTATCTAATAATTATTTCCTTTGAAAATAAAATTTAATTAATGAAACCTTTTCTTCTTTTTCCTCGCCTTAATCCCAACTACTTGGGCTACCCTTATCCTAAACTTCCACTTGACACGATCTTTCTTATTATTTACGCACACATCAGCCGTCCTCATATCATATTCAATAACATCTCTCCATCCCTTATTTTGGTCTTGCTTCTACATTCATTTCAATAACTATACTTACAGCTTTATAATCGATTGAACAAAATATGCTTTTACTCTTACCGTTATTACTTAAAAAATACTCGATATTATAATTATTAAAAATCAATTAATTCTATTTATAAATGTTATTATTATTATTGTGCTTAGTGGTATTTTATTAAAAATACCATAGGATATACGTTTTATTAAAAACTTGAAAGGCTCAAATTGAAGATATTTCCGAATTTTTTTATTAGGTTTCTATTGTCTAAAGAGGAGTGTTAACAAATATACAGAAATAAGTACGTGTTAATTATACAAAATGAGGTTGGGTAGTAATTTTTTAATTTATTTAAAGGTATGCAAACGTATAATAGCGTAACGTGCATATTTGTAGTATTTTTACAGGCGTTCATCGTTTCCGCCAAACCAATAGTTTATACCTGTCTATAAAAAGAAGATTGAGAACCACTGGTTAAAATATTTGCCAAAATAACCTGATAATAATTATCTACTTTTCATTTAATCGAACTTTATACTGTTTTATTATTGTTATTAGATAGCAATGCATAGATTATTGCGAATTTTTGCATTCACATTTTAATGAACAATTTTTTAAGGCGCATCCTTCTAATAATATATTTTTAAAAATTTTAATAGCAAATATTTAGTCTTACAATTACATTAAAATATATATTTTCGATAATGCAGTCTCAAAAAGCGCATGGAATAAAATTGAAATCCGTTTCAAAAAAAACAAAATAGACAATTGATAAATTTAATAAAAATGAAATTAGCCGATTTGAATTTGTAAAATTAGTTTTCAACAACTATCGAAAAATTTATAGATCGTAGATCTATTTTTTATTAGATATTTTTTAAGCTTGATAGTCATTTGTTAGTGATGGGACAAAAAATTACTTTATTTTGCTCATTAATATTAATACCCCACGCAAAATCTTAAATACAAACCTGAACGTAACATTCAATAAATGCCAAACATTTGGGTATTGGCTTGTGGTGACCAATGGATTTAACTAAATGGTTCTCAATTTTTTTAATAGATAGACAGGTAGAAGATCTGTTTGGCGGAAACGATAATCTCCCATTTTTACACAGTATTCGTTAATTTTAAACATTGAAACTTAGTATATGCAGTATATTCTTTAAAATATTACTGGATTTGCCAATTTTAAGGCTTAAAACCAATTATTAACACATAATAATAGTTTTAATTATTGAAATGTAAATGATAGACTAAAATAATGAATCAAAACCCAAACATGTAACGTACTGAAAAATAAAGCAAAATTGATAATGTAGAACCACTTTAAATATGGTGCTATTAGTTTAGAATAATTTAAAACTTTAGCTTATCATTTTCGACTAGAAAAATAGTGATTTTATATATGTTAATAATATATATATATATATATGTTATTTAAAATATTTTCAGAAATCTTTAAGTGTTTAGTTTAGTGTGACGTTTCGAACTCATTGTCAACTCCATCTTCTGAGTGCTAGGTACAGGTCCATTTTCAAACATTACTGATAAAGTAGTGAACATGTAAAGAACTAATAAATTTTTTGTATTTTTATCAATACCCTTCTAGAATATATAGAATGATCAATTATAGACAAAACACATATTTTCTCAGAAACTATTGAATATTTTTAATTTTTGCAAAGGAAAATATTGTTTGATTCAAAAAAAAAACTGCAAGAATATGTAGTTAAATAATTTTTTTTTCATCTCTTCAGATATTAAAATATAAATTTTAATGTTCTTAAATAGGAACTCCTATTTTTGATTATAAATTTTTTTTTTAATAAAGCCATTATATATTTTCTTTATTCAATAAATCGTTTGCGTTTTAAAATTGTTTAGATTTGAATTGAAAATAGATATTCATCATTCATTTGATTTTTATAATATCGAAAGCAACAATAATCTGTTTCATTAGGCCATAAATTATTATCAGTATATATTTTTGTTGTTATACAAGACAAATATAATAACAATAATTGTCAATAAAAACTTGTATATGTGAGTTCATGAAAAAATGATGACTACTTTATGATAGTTAGCAATTTATCATTAGAAAATTTATCAAAAATTGTTAAACTTTTACAGACAATAAAATGAGAACGGTTCATAAAAAAAAAGTTACAAGAATATAATTTGTTGGAATTTTTTTCTCTCTAAAATTGGGGTTTCCATTAAAATTAATTAAAGTTTAGATTTTTACACTCAAGAGATGAATAAAAATAATATAACTACATATTATTGTAGTGCGATTTGAATGAAATAATTTTTTTCTTTACAAAAATATTAAATTTTCAATAATTTCTAAAAAATTGAGTGTCTTATCTTTAATTGATAACCCAAAAATAGAATTAAAAAGTTTAATGGTATCTTCGATTATGACTCTCGAGATACTAATAAAGCATATATCCTTTGATTTTTTGTATATAAACATTACCTAGCACAATAATAATAAAAGTTATACATAGAATTAATTGATTTTTTAATAGATATGATGTCTAGTATTTTTTAAGTTTATTTATTAACCACCAGGTGGAAGTGATTTTTTACCAGATGGCACTAATGCCACCCACTTCCTATATTAAAATATGAACTTAGCTATTATAGGTACTTGTTTAGAACATTCATAGGTAGTCTGTGTTTGGTTTTACTTATTAAAGGTTTAACTTGATAAAACAAATTTAACTTTACAGTGGTAATGTAAAAGACAAAAAAATTTTTTTTATACTACAAATTATTTAATTTTATACATTTTTTATGTAGCTGAAAAAGGTATTATGATACTATAGTTCAAATGCCACTTTTTTAATAAAATAATTTATTTTATAATAATGCATTTGTTAAGGAACATTAAATTTTTAGGGTCTATGTTGTAAACAAACAATTTTATTTTATTATTTCAGTATTATGCAGTACAAAAAAAAAAATCATATTATATTATTTAAATCAATTTTTTCATTTAATGTAAAATGTATAAAAATTATGTAGTGATGTATTTTATAAAAAAAATTATAGTATATTTTTTTTGCAGAAATTTTTAAAAGAAATTATGATGGAAGTAAACAAATATGAAAACTGGATTTTTAATATACGATTGGCAAAAATTCTTGGTTACTATTATATTCTTAATCCAAAAACCGAAAGAAGTCTTAAATATTTTTGTTTTATCGTGAAATTGGGTATTATTTATGTAGCAGTAATATCAACGTCTCTTTTTTTTGGACTGTACCACTGGAAAAATGACATAAATCAGTTTACATTACAGCTTGTCGTATTTCAAAATATAATCTTTGCTATCTACAGAATATGTATAATTATGAAGGATTCTGAAATTATTTGGGATATCTTACAAATAACTAATCTTGAATTCTTGTCTATTAAAAATTATAATAAGAATTTTTTGAACCTATGGCGAGACATATCAATAAAATTCACCTATTTAATTGCAATATTAACTTTTTATTTATTATTAACTTGGTCAGCCAGTGGATATATTTTTAATAATAGTTATGTAATTGCAAAAAATCATGATGGTTCATACAGCAATTATCATTTGAATGTTTATAATGTATATTTTTTAGTTTCAGCAGATACTTATAATACATATTTTCCAATTTTTCACATAATCGAAACTTTATATGCATTTATTTACTGTTTATTTATGTTAACATCAGATACAGTTTTAATATCAGTATGTTTATCAATAACAGGTCAATTAGAAGTAATTAATGATAGCTTTATAAATGTTGAAATGTCGTACAAAGAAAATATATTACGACAAAGTAACTATTTTAAAATCAATCAAATTTATATCAAATATTTAATTTAAATATACAGAGTGATCAAAATCTAGTAAGACACTTATTTTTTCAGAAACTATTGAGAATTTTAAATTTTTTTAAAGAGAAAAAATTTTTATTTTACTGTTAATACAGAAGTCATTACTTTTGTTTTCTATTGCATAAACCAAATTTTATTGATCAAGTTATGACAGGTACATTAGCTATAATAATCTACGACGCACTAAATGAGTGATAACAATAATAGATTCAAATCGGGTTTTCGGTGTATTATTAATAGCAAAGTCTATAGGTGTGTAAGACTTACAAATAAAAATGACTTCTGTATTTACAGTAAAATAACAATAGAAAATTGGACTAAAATTACTTAACTTTAACAAGCTGTAACGGACGAACGGTTAATCAAAAAAAAAAAAAGTTGAATTAACTAAGTTGTTTGTAAAATTATTTCTATCATATTGTAAAATTAAAAATAAGAGTTCCCATTTAAGAAAATTATAAATATTGGTTTTTATCTCTGAAGGGACGAAAATAATAATGATTTGATTACATATGAATATAGAGATTTTTGAATTTGATATTTTTTCTCTTTAAAAAAATTAAAAATTCTCAATAGTTTCTGAGAAAATAAGTGTCTTACTAGATTTTGATCACTCTGTATATATATATAAATTTAAGTTTTTTTTTATTAAAAACCTATATTTATTTATTATAAAGTTATTTTTAACAGGTATCTATGTTAATAAATTTCAAAAAAATGTTATATTTGACTTGAAAAATATTATTTACAATAGTCAAAATGTAATTCGGTAGGTTTGATGCATTTTTTAGTACTACTAATTTAAAGTCTTAGAGTAGTTTAAATAAAATATTTAAAAAAATAATATTATATCAACTTTTTTTTCCTTTTTCTTTTTTTTTTTATTCAAATAACTTTATAAAATTAACATCTATACAAAATATATGCACAACTGTAAATGGGTTAACAGTAGTGAAAAAATTACAATATGACTTGAATAGCATGCAGTAGGGGGGCACCCAATGGAGCTACCTACTTTGAATTTTGTTTTTTGATTTTTTGTTTTTCTATAGGAGGTCTCTACACCATTTTCTTTTTAATCTTATTGGTGGATTGTCGGGGATGTGCTTTGAATAGAGGTATTGAATATCAGGGTTTGGGTGAGAGTTAAATTTGTTATGAAGTTTTAGGTAAGCAGTTTTGGCGATATTGTTAACATAACTAATTTGAAGATCTGAATGGAGAGTTTTATTAGGGACGTACCAAGGGGAATTGGTGAGTGTTCGTAGGCAAATAGATTGAAAGGATTGGATTTTTTGGATGTTGAATGGAGCGGCACAGCCCCAGGTTTGGATACCATAAAACCATAGTGGAAAGAGAAGAGTTTTATAAATGAGTGTTTTTAGCTTAAGATTAAGTTTGGAACGTAAGAGAGAGCGAAGTAGATGGAGTCGGGTGTTTAATTGTTTTCTTTTTTCAGTTATATGGTCTTTCCAAGTTAGTCGTTTGTCAAAAATGAGGCCTAAGTATTTTACTTTATTATTTTGGGGGAGTAAAGTGTTGTAGAGTTTGACTGGTGGACAGATGTCTGGTCGAAAAGAAAAGGTGATGTGGTTTGATTTGGTTGTATTTACTTTAATTTTCTATTCGGTAAACCATTTTTCTAAAAGATTGAGGTGGTGTTGGAGTTTGAAATTTGTTATTAAGGGATCAGCGTCTGATGATGATATGCTTGTATCGTTAGCAAAAGTACTTAAGATTATGAAGGTAGATGTAGGTATATCAGCTGTGTATATTAAGTATAAAAGGGGGGATAGGTCACTGCCTTGGGAAACTCGTTTATAGTGAAATGGTTAGAAAGTGAGTTGTTTATATTTACTTGGAAAGAACGTTGGTCTAGGTAAGATTTTAATATTAAGTAATATGGTGTTGGGAAGTTTGATTTTAGCTTGTGGAGTAACCCTTCGTGCCATACCTTATCGAAAGCTTGGGCTATGTCTAAAAAGACATCTGAATAGTATTTTTTTTGTTCAAGAGATGAGGATATAGCATTGGTGATACGATGGAGTGGGTGTATTGTAGAGTGATTTGCACGGAATCCGAATTGAGAGTGGGGGATGATATTTTTTATTTCTGAAATATTTTGAAGACGTTTTAATAGAAGTTTTTCAAATAGTTTTCCCAAGGTAGAGAGGAGGCTGATTGGACGATAAGAAGAAGTTAAATTTTTCGGTTTACCTGGTTTCGGCACTACTATGATTGTTGATAGTTTCCAAAGTGGGGGGAAATGAGAAAGTCTGAGCATGGCATTGAAGATATGGACTATGTTTAGGATAGATTTGCTGGTTAGTTGTTTTAAGATGTTATTTGTTATAAGGTCGTGACCTGGAGTTTTACTGTTCTTTAGTTTGCCAATTGCACATTTGACTTCATTTAGAGAAAAGTGTTTGGGGGGCAATGTCATGGGTAGGGGCTGTCTAGTGATTTGTTGATTTTGTTTATATGGTTAGCAGAGGGATTTATGTTGTTGGGTTTAAATACTTCATATAGGTATTCAGAAAATGAATTAGATTTGTCTATGTCAGATACTGCTAATTGGTTGATGTTTAGTTTTATTGGCGGTATTAGTTCTTTATGTTTTAATATACTTTTTGTTTTACGCCAGAGAGAGCAGTTAGATGTTTGGAGTTTGGTGATATTATTTTCGTAGCGTTCTGTGTTGATTTTGTAAAATTCTTTTTTTAGTTTGTTTGAAATAATGTTGAGTGCATTTTTGTCAGCAGGGTGACGAGTTGATTGCCATCTCGCTCTGGCTCTCCTTTTTTTTGCTAGCATTTCTTTTAGAACTATTAGGATGTTGTTGAATTTGTTAGGATATTTAGAGGGGGATGAAGAAACAGTTACTGAGTCTTGAACATTGGAAGTTAATTGGATTACAGCATTGTCAATGTCATGTTTGGTTTTTAGAGGAATATTAAGGCTAGTTTTGCTGTCTAGGACGAATTTAAATTTTNCCTGTCTAGGACGAATTAAAATTTTTTCTAGGATATTGAGACATTTATGAAGCTTGGTTTGTTGTTGAGAAGGGGGGTTGAGTTCAAAAAGTAATACAGCTGTGTGGTCAGAACAAAGTTCGTTTATATTTGAAATAGAATAGTGAATGGTTGGAGAAAATTTAGTTATAAAAAAATCAAGTATGTCAGGGTTTCTGTTTTGGTGNTAAAATCAAGTTAATATTAGTTATGTAATATATAATTATAAAATATAATATAGATTTTGTTACTTACAGTCTTTATAACAATTTCAATTGGTATATACAAATAATTTATTTACAATTGTTGTTTAAAGTATTAAGTATATTTTTGTGTTCAATTGTGCGTCGTGGTAATCTTCGTTGGTTTGTTATATGCAAGTATAAGTAGTTTAATAATTACGTCTTTTCGTATATTAAGTCGTACTATCTTTTTTATAATTTGTATTTTGATAATATTATTACTATCAACATACGCTTTAAAACATTAGCTAGTTTCTTCTTCCACTTGTTAGAGACTAACCTCTAGTGGCTTACTTTAGAATTTAACCCCGAGTATTTTTTCTAATATGTCTTCTCCTGGTGCAACCAATGCAACTTCAAAAAAAGTTGCTGTCCGTTCTGGTGTTAGTACGAGATCTTCAAGTACTATTTCTAATGAAGATTAAATGCAAATTATTTTGTTCTTCAAAGTCCTCGCCTCCAATAAAGCACTTTCTGACTCGCAATCTTTGCAGTTCAATACACTTAAAGCAGAAATATTAAAAGTTTCTGAGCAAGTGAGTGAACTCAAAGCAGAGAATATAATACTCAAAAGAGATGTTGGTTCACTTAAGGCAAAAATTAGTAGTCTTGAAGAGAACAATTCGTCTGCTAACCCATCCACAATCACTAGCCAGGTTTTGCAAGAACTATTTGAACGAGATCGCTGTTCTTCCAATGTGATTGCTTATGGTGTATTAGAGTCTACCTCTTTAACTGATTCTGAGAGAGTTCTACATGATGAATTCATGATTAAAAATATTTTGTTGCCGGTTAGAAATTACCTTCCAACGAATTTTAATTTGAACCGGATTGGGAAACCACGTCCAGATATTACCCGCCCACTTAAGCTAATATATACTAACAAAGAGGAAGCACAATTTTTGCTGTACCATACAACCAGGTTAAGCGGTCAGGTACTCAATTCCAAAATGGTTTTAATATTGTCAAGGATAAAACCAAATTTGAACGACAACTATTACGTGCTTGTCACAATGATCTGTTGTCTCGTACAGCTCAAGATGAAACAAATCTACGTATATATTATGAAAATGGTGTTCTATCTGTGGTCAAATCAATTCCAAAATACCGGGTCCGTGAAAACATAGCAATCGACAACCAGATATTCAGCAAATTTCTCAACTTTCATAGTTCAGCCATGTACACTAGGTTTGCATGAGCATGTATATTTTTATAATAAATGCCAAGTCCACTCTTAGTACTTTTATATTAGATTTCTACAATTTTAAAATTAATAAGTCTTGTCCTCGTGATTTATCTACAATTAGCTATACTACGTCGAATGATAATGTTCCGTTTGGTTTTTACCAAAACTGTCGTGATCTTAGGACTAAATTTTTTACTCTTAAGTGTAATCTTGCCAGCTTTAATTATGTATTTCTTGTTTTAACAGAAACTTGGCTTAATTCTGATTTATTTGATTCTGAATTATGTTTGGATAATTATAATATTCACCGATGTGATAGAAGTATTTTAATGAGTAATTGTACTCGAGGTGGTGGTGTCCTTATTGCTGTGCATAAAGATTTTCATTCACAAATTGTTTCTATCTCTAATTTAAGTATTGAACAAATTTATGTTAGTTTTAATTATAATAATGACAATTTTATAGTTGGTGGTGTATATTTTCCTCTTAACTCTCCTATTCAATCCTATGATACTTATTCTNTCTCTCATATTCAATCCTATGATACTTATTCTAGCACAATTAAAAATCTAATTTGTTGTTATAGCACCCATAGTTTTATTCTATATGGTGACTTTAACTTACCTAATATTAATTGGTCTAACGATAATTTAGGTATTTTCTATTCAATGGCTACCGAAAACAGCCTATTCCTGAGACTTTTACTTTCTTAAAGCTTTAATCAAGTTAATAATGTTTTTAACGTTTACAGTTCAATGTTAGATCTTATTTTTACAAATAAGAATCTTTTTAAAGTTAATATGGTGTACGATCCAATTGTTCCTGAAGATCGATATTATCCTGCATTAGCTATTGATTACCCAACAAATAAAAAAATCTGTTATTTCATGCCGTTGAATCATATTTTTATTTTACGAAAGCAGATTATACACGTATTTCAGATTTTTCCTATCTTATAATTGGTTGGATACTTTTACTCAACTAGACGTTAATTTAGCAACATCAACTTTGTATGATGCATTACACTTCTCTATTCTTCACTGGGTTCCACGTGTTAACTATAATAAATTTTATTTTCCTTGATGATTTTCAAAGGATTTGATTGATACAGTGTTCCAAAAAAGAAAAGCCCACGCCATTTTTAAGGCAACACGTAATCCACTCGATTACAGAAAGTTTTCTCTACTACGTGCAAAATACAAATTTTTATCGAAAAATTGTTACAGAAAATTTTTGGAACTTTGTTAGAAAGAGTAAATCTCAACAGTCAATTCCTAAAACAATTAATTTGAATGGGTTTAGTAGTACTAATAGTATAGAAGTTGCTAATCTAATTCTTTTTTCTGTACCTAAATGCAATACCAACTACCTAAAAACAGGCCATTTTATGGATTGATCAGTATTGCTAATAAGGACTCATCAACTTTATTATATTATTAATTGTTGTATTTTTGTATTTTATATGATTATTGTACATGTAAGTTAAGTTTATTAAATTGAAATTTGGTCATGTGCCATATTGAGAATATAAATAAACATTTGAAATTACAAAGACGTGTTACTTGGGGGTGCTTAAAGTGAAGTTGGGGGTGCTTCAGCACCTCCTAGCATCCCCGTAGTTGCGCCACTGGCGAAGAGTTATCTTTGGAACATTCGTTAGATTTGTGGGTGTCTCCGCATTTAACACAGCGAGGTGTATGATGACAATAAGTTCTGGTATGACCGTAATTTTGGCATCTTAGACATTAAACTGGAGTTTTTTTTAGGTGGGGTGCTTCAACTTTTATTTTGGTGTAGCAAATTGAGTCAATTTTGTAAATACTTTGATTTGTTGGAGATGGTTCTAAATCAATAAAAAATATGGGGAGTGGATTTTTGGTTTTATACTGCAGGCAGTTTGTAATTGACCGAACAGAGAAACCAAGAGCTTGAAGATCATCTTTGATGAATTTAATTGGTGTAGTATGGTGAAGGTGTCGAATAACTACTCTGATAGCTTTGTCGTCGCTAAATTGAAAAGTGTGGTAGTTTATATTATTTGTTTGTTGATTTATTGATAGTGTATGTCAATAATTTGATACTGTTAGATGTGCTTTTTGTTGTAAATCCTTCAGGTTCAGTGAGACGTTTTATATTTTTACAAAAATCAAAGAAGTCAATTGTGCTTTTTATGTAAATGGGTGGAATTTTGTTTACTTCTTTTGGGTTATCTTGTGTTTATAATTAAAAGATTTCATTTGTTTAAATAGTTATATAAGAGCATTTTAGTTTTTTTATTAAAAAATAAAACAAGTTTGATAATCTAAAATTAAAAATCATATAAACATTTATATTTTGTCGATACTAATAATTTACCTCGTGAGAAAAATGTTGATAATTTTTTTTTTTCATTTATAAATGTTAATGAATATTACCCTGTAATATACACCAAATTATGTTTTCTAATATTTATATCTTTAAGGGTGATATATTTTTGATAAAAAGTTAATCAGCGATTGATTGACCATCTTTAAAACGTTATCAAAAGGTCAATTAATATTCGTGTGCATGTGTGTGGTGTAATTGGATTTTTTTTTAGCATAAATAAGGTATATCATTGCTTTTATGCATTATTAATATTAAAAGTTTAAATAAATATTTGTTTCAATACTATTATACTAAAATATATGAAAGTAAAAACCAAATTATCATAACATTACATGTTCGCTTTTTTATAAATTTTTTGATTTGTCAACTTCTAATTATTTTTTAGCATTATTTATTAAAACTTATTGAAGTATTAACTTAATTTTGGTTAATGACGACATACGTATTTAACTAGTTAACAAAAATAGAAAATCTAATTAAGTAAATGACGGGTCAATAACATCTTTTGGTCCAGTTCTTTGGAAGTTATTATCATTTTTAAACTTGTACGGGAGGAAAAGTAACTTCTAGAAGAAATAAACACTTATTTTATCATTATATTAGAAATCTCATTTTGTCAAATTTTGAGGTACGCGTTATGAAATAGTATTAGCGGCAATATATTTAAGATTTGTAACATTAATATATTATGGTTAGAAATAAGTTAGAAAATTTGTGTCTATGAAATTTAGCGAAAATAAAATTTTTAATAGCATGGTTTTAAATGGTGATGAATACAATTTTTTGCAGTTAAAAAATTTGCACAAATTACATACATATATTTTTGTATTTAATGGTCACGCAAATATCCTCCATAAAATTACTTTAAAATTTAGTTAGTTGATATTACAAACTATTTGTATATAATTATTGGAAACAGTCCCGAATTTATAAATGATTGAAGCGGAATATTTGTATAAAATCCCGACTGAACATCGATTAAAAACCTAACAAATTCAAAACTTCTATTGATATACTTTGTGTAGTATAGTTCTGATAATATTTTATTTTGCTTTGAATTGTCACAACTTGCAACTGAATTTGTGTCTCGGTATAAACAAGCCAAAATAAATTATTATGAATATATAATTTACATAAATGAAAGATGTTATATGTATAATGGCAATAATAAATATGTAATAAATGTGTTATTAATATTTTTGATTATTTTTTTTTCAGAAAAATGGAGCAATTTTATAATTTATTCAGACGATTAATTTTGATCCAAATTGTAATATTGTCTACTTCTTTGGTACTTTTTTCATATACTGGAATGTTGGTAAGAAATAGTGCTTATTAAGAAATAAGAATATTTTGTTAAATACATTAAAAGAAACTATAGGAATTACGGACATATTAATTTAAAGATGTAAATTAAATTTTATTTAATCTGAGCTCATTATTTTTCATGTCAAGCGCAAAAATAATATTTATTGTAAATATTTTAATTGTAATATAATTAAAGAAGAAATTTTCTTAATTTTAGAAATTAAAAAACCATGCGTGTAAAGTGGCATTTTTAATAAATTTTTTAATATTCTGAAAATGCTATAATTTTTTTAAAAGCACTGATTATAAATGAAAAATTAACAAAGTAATAATTTTTATTATTTAAAAATATAAAATAAAAAAATTATATATATCTTCTTCATTTTCTTCACCTTAATCCCAACTACTTGGAGTCGGCCACCTTTACCTTTAACTTCAATAGTTATTTCTATAACTGTCCTTACAGCTTCCGATTCTTCTCTCCTCATAATACGACCAAACCATCTTAGTATATTTTCTCTCATCTTATCCACGATTGACGCTACACCTATATTCTATCTTATATGATTGTTCCTTATCTATCTTCCCTAGTCGCTCCATCCATCCATCTAAGCATTCTAATCTCTGCTCTACTTTCTTGCCAACTGCCCAACACTTTGAACCATACATCATAGCTGGTCTCACTACAGTCTTGTAAAATTTACCTTTCAACCTCATTGGAATTCTTTTATCGCAAAAGAGACCAGATGCTTATCTATACTTCAACCATCCGCACTTAATCCTGTGTCTTACATCCTCGTTAAAATCACCGCTCTTTTGCACAACTGATAGCTATAATAATCCTTCTGTATTGAAAGCTAATAAAAAAAAAAAAAATATAGTAGTATGATCAAATAATTTTCAAAACGGTTTGTGAAACTAAACCAACTATTTTGGTGTAGAGCCGAATTTTATTATTATATTATGACATAACAACATTTTTTAATATCATTATTAAATATTTTTTTGTATTTTATTAGCACTTCATGCATGGCGGAATGGTTAATTCAATCCAGACTGTTAAACTTATTTCAGCATTTTTAGTTTTCGTTGTTCAATTATTTATACTTTGCTTTATTTTTGGGATTATAAATGACAGGGTAAGTAGTTTATTATAAGAATAGAATAATAATAATATTATTCTGAAATAATTTTAATTTATGATACAAGATCACGTTTTTTTATTCGTATGTATTATTATATATTTATAAAAAATACTTCAAGCAGCAGGAAAAATAATTACCATTTTTCTATTCGCTGTATTTTTTTAAACATTCCGACTTATCAATAGGCATATTTTTTTATTTTTTTATTTTTAGTTTTTTTTTATTAAGGCTGTGTGAAAAATAATTAACATCACTGCTCTTCGAATGATAAATAAACTCATTAAGTTAACCTTACATTTCATCGTCTACAAATATAAATATATAAAAATTTGTATGTGTAATTGCGTATTGTTTTAAATACATCATTCATCTATCATTTTATCTATAAAGATAAATAATAAAGATAGAGTTAGATGTTGCTGTGTCAAATACAAAACCTTGAACTTTATTCAATAATGCCCATACTTCTAATTCACATATCTGTTTTCCAACTATTGTAAATAAAATTTTAGAATCCCAATGCACTATAGCGAATTCTATATTAAGTTCAAAAAAACTATCACAAGATATAATTGTAAATGATAAAATATCCATATTACACTATACTTATTGTATCAGGCATAAATAGTTTACGATGAGAGATAAAAGTTAAAAGTCACCCAGTAAAAACCGTTTGTTGCATTGGTGTATTGCAATTTTGTAGTAAAAGTAATTCGTTGCTATCAGCTGATACTAATGACTTTATGACAAATTATATACTTATGTACAAAATAGTAAAATACGTAAAATTATTTAAATCAAAATAACATTAAAGTGATTTCATAGGATTAACATGCGAGACTAAATGTAAGTATACATATAGGGTGTCCCTTATTTGAAAAATATTGGAAATTCTTCGGGCTCACCCCCCAAATTTGTGTGTATACATATAAAAAGTGGCTACAAAAAATTTAAGGCCGATCAGATAAGTTTAACCCGTGCCGACTTGGGGTTGAAAATCGGCCGAAATGGGTACTCTTTTAGTTTTTAGAAATTAACTCGTAAATTAGCGCTCTCAAAAAAAAAAATATATATATATAAACTAAATTGTAGATCTAATTGTTTTGTATAAATTAAGTCCTTACAGTTTTTCTTTTAAATCCATTAGTTTTCTAAAAAAATGTCAAAATACATAATATTTCGTAAAATTGCCGAAATTAGCATATTTACGAATATTTCATCATATATGACGAACCATATGTGATACGACCTAATGTTTCATACAAAAATTGTTTAAAATTAAATTTCACGAAATAAAAGTAATAAGTACAAATTTCATTGAACCGATCGTTTTATTGCTATAACTGAAATAACTCGATCATATTACGATTTTTACTAAATATATGAATTTTATTGCTTAATTTAAATTTACTTCATTTATATTGTGTTTTTTTTTTTTTTTTTTTAGCTTTCAATACAGAAGTATTATTATAGCTAAACGATTAAAATAAAATTATACTATAGAAACTAAGACTATACAATAAGAACTAACACTATACAAAAGAGAAAAAAAAATTTTTTTGTTATTAAACACAGTTAAACAGATCGTTAAATTAATAAATTAAACATACTCAAAATACTAAAAAAAAAAAAAAAGAACAAAACAAATTAGACCTAGGATATTAAATTAACATACAGAAAAATATTATATAACGAAGCCAGCTGAATGATTAAAGGAAATTATATATATAATTATTGAGGAGGATTTTGTATTAAGGATATTAAAACTATTAATGGGTGAAATATTAAGTGAGGACAGGAAATTGAACAAGAGTGAACGGTTATGTTGTAAAGCTGGGCAATCAAATAGTAAATGAGGAAAATTACAGGGGACTTCATCATTGTGTTTAGGGCAGAAGGGGGAATGGTTTAGTGACATGTTAAAGGCATGACTAGGTAACCGATTATGACCAAATCTAAGACGGGAAAAAGAGGTAATATGGAAACGGGACAAAGGGAGGTTATAAAACCAAGGACGTTTAGGGATAGTTGGAACTATAGATTTATGTCAGTTAGCTAAAGAAAAATTAGACCATTTATCTTGCCATGCTTTATTAATAGTTGGATGAAAAGAGGAAAGGAGATCGGAAGAGGGAATTTTTAGGATAGGTGGTCGGTTGAAGGAGTTAGTCAGTTTGGCTAGATGGTCTGCTATCTCATTGCCAGATATTCCGACATGACTGGGGCACCATAAAAATTCAACATTAATGTCCATTAAATAGAGACTATAAATTAAGGCTTTAATTTTGATTGTGAGGAAGGATCTACTTTTTTTAAAAGGAACTGAGGAAAGAGATGACAAAACTGACAGTGAATCCGAGACAATCAGAATATTTATTATATTGAGTGATTTGACGAATTCGAGAGCCGAGGATATCGCATAAGATTCGGTGGTAAATGAACAAGCTTTTGAAGGGAGATTATCTGAGAAATTAATGTTTAGACTAGGAATAAAAAAGGAAAAACCGGCGGAATTAGTATAAACTGAGCCGTCAGTGAATATGAGGCAGTAGTTAGCAAAACGAGAGGAAATGAGTTCATCAAAAAGATAATTGACGAAATTAATTGGGAGAGATTGTAATTGAGGCTTGCTATAAGAAAGAAATAGATGGTTAAAGTGAATTTTTGGAAAATGAGTAAGTGCATGAAATGGAATGTCATATATAGGTAGGCGATTGATTGAGGTAATTATAGAATTAAGGTAGGGAATCAAGGTAGTAGAAATTGAGGCAAGTAGAGGAAGAGTTTTGGGTACATATCGCCAAAGTGAGCTTAGTGAATGAAAACAATGAAATATTAACTTGGCAGGACTGGATATCTGTTTTAAAAGGAATTTATAGGCTAAGTAACGAGATCGAATTTCAATTGGAGGGCATACACATTCTACTTCTAAACTCATATTAGGGGTAGAGTAAACTGCACCTATAATTGTGCGTAAACAAGCAGCGAGTAGAGAATTGATTTTTTTACGATGAACAGTGGAAGCCGAGGCGTATAAAAAGGAACCATAGTCAACTTTAGACCGAATAAGAGCCTTAAAAATAAGTAAGAGTGAGGAGGGGTGGGAGCCCCACCAGGTACCTGCAATAGAACGTAGAAGATTAGACCAGCGTGATATGGAAGAGATGAGGTACTTAAAGTGAGGCATCCAGATTTATATTGTAAATTTATGTATTTGTTTGACTTAAACGCATAATTATACTTACTACTCAATATTATTGTATAAATAACAAAAAAATTACTACATAAAATGCAATGTTAAATTCAAAATAATTCACATATTATAACAAAAATATACATTAAAAACTATGTTTTAATGTTTCTTTGTTGCAATTAGGATATAATTTTCTCTGCTCTTGGACACAGCGTAAAAGTAACTCTGCTTTTTCGTCGTTTACAGTTAAACTTCCATGAACATCTTCCATTAGCTTAACCGCTCTCTCTACAGAGTCATTTACTACTTTAAGTGAATATACAATTACTTTTCCGTGTAAATAAAAATCATCAATATTCAAATTACTTGGATCCAAATTTAAAAAATTTCATACTGCTTTTTGACAAAAAAGAAGCTACAGTTTTTTCTAAAAAAAAAAAATCAATCACTCAATAGTCATCAAAAAATAAAGATATCAAAAATTATTATACCTGAAAATAATTTGTCTATATCACTCGATGAAAGTTTTAACGTTTGCTAGGGTTTATTATTGACTCATTATAAAGGGATACAACCATTAATTTTTTTATTTTGGTTGAAATGGAATCGTCAAAAAATGTTAGAGCTGCTGTTTCCTTTGTTAAGTACCATAAATGATTACAAATTTTGTTTAACGCTGCTTTCGCAATTAACGGTTGTTCTTTTTCATATAACTTCAATTCTTTAATAAAGTTTAAGTCGTTATTCGGAGCTTTGGACGGTTTAGTACAGTTAAACCAGGCTTTTAAATAAAATCGAATAATAAAAATACATATATCTCGAATAGCATTTATTTCAAAGGATTTTAGTAAATACTGTTTTCGGTATAAATAAATCTTTAAGCAATATATTGCTCTACTCATCCAACAAACTTGGTGCATGGCTCCAGGAGGGTGTATTTTAATTTTTTTATCTGAGTCACCATTTAAAAAAATTATAGATAGCTCGAGAAATTCTTTATAATCATCTCTAAAACATCCGATTCGCAACATTTCCCTAGAAAACTGGAGAATATCATTTCGATAATTTTTAAGTGCAGAGCAACATTCGATGTCATCTATTCCATAGATCGTATTAGAAACATCAATATTATTCCAATTTTTTGAAAGATTTTAAATATGGGAATATCAGGGCTTAATGTTACCTGAGGAAGTTTTGTTTCGAAAACACCGCGTAAAATCAGTTCATATATATGGTGGCGACAAGGTAAATACAATAGATCTTTCTCTAATTTTTGCTCTAGTAAAATACACGAACTCTTTAAACGTCCCATATTAGATACGGTGGTATTGCAGCATAGAGCTTGGACAATCTTTAATAAGCCCCAATCGTCTAACGCACAATAAACAGCATTAGCTTGTTCATACCACGTCGAATTTTTCAGTTTCAGTATACCAATTAATAAATCTAGATTTTTACTAGTTATCACAATTGGTAACCTATCAATGCCCGAGTCTCTTACATTTAAAGTTGGTAAAATCTTTCCATCCCAATGCACAGTGATATACATAGGAGGACAACTTTGAAAATTTTTTTTTATTAAATTATCCCGTTCAATTCGTATAGCATCACGGCATCTATGTATTGAAGACTTATTTATAATAAGAGAATCGACGTCATGATCTAAAGCTTCAACTGTTGCTTGAATAATGTAAACTGCGTCTCGTGCGCTTATTTTACATCGATCTAAAGCAGCTACGAGTTTCGGTGTAATGATATTTGTTTGACCCCTTTTATTCTGTTTTGCTAAAACATTAAAAGATTTTTCATTCCCAGATTCTATAGATGAAGAAGAACTTATAATTATATCATCTGATAAATAAGGTATACTTTGCGTAGAATATGAAGTAGATGAACCGGCTACTTGGTATTCACTAAGCCTTTCTGTTTCCCTAATCTTACGCTTTTTAGATCTCTATTCTTTCTCTTGTAATTTTTGGTCGATGCCACCTAAATAACCAAGTATATGGCATTTGAATTTTTAATGAAACTTAATTTGTTTATTAGATATAAACATTTCAAGTTTCAAATTTTTGAGTTAATATATAGGTATAATACACAAGGGTTTACAAATACAGGTAGCTAATGTATTTTTTATGACATCGATATTAGCAGGTACACAGCATTGTTATTATCAATGATAGTAAGCTACATTGTTGTGAGTTTATAAATACACTAATTGACAATACAAAAAGTATATCTATTGATAGTCATAATTGATAATAAACAATCCGTGACTGTAATAGCAATATCATAAAAAACCAATTAGCTACCTGTATTTGTAATCCCTTGTGTATTATACCTATATATTAACTCAAAAATTTGAAACTTTAAATGTTTATATCTAATAAACAAATTAAGTTTTATTAAAAATTCAAATGCCATTTATTATTGAATTAAAAACTCAAACATTTTATTAAATTAAAAATATGTGTTACCATTTAAAAAAACAAAGTTGACACCCTTACTAGGCATAAGGGATGAACTTAAAAAGTATTACATAGTTAATAATTCAAGAATAATGTGTAACTAAAGATAATAATAAAAAAAAATTTTAAATTATTATTATTCTGTAAGTAATTGAGTGGGTTATGATAAAAAAATCATCCTGTATATATATATATATACATTTCGCAATTATAGCACAACTATAAATCTGACTATAATGTTACATAAGATCAATATTTTAGAAAATATAATTTTACATATTTTTTATACGAAATAATTTGTTGTAAAGTGATTATTTCAAAAGTTTAGAATGATTTACGATCATAAAGTGAAGTTTAGCAAATTTTTTTCTTTTATTATTTTATTTTTTTGAGCAAGTAAAAATAATTTTAGAAAATTTTTGTAAAGACTTTTTTTGAAGAAAATATTTAAATCTATAATTTATATTCTATACATTTTTACGCTAAGTGTATTAGTTTTAGAAAAACGGAAAATTACCCTTTGAAATAAGTTTTCAACCCCGATTCAGCACCTCAAGGGGGTAAGTTATCAAAACCAAATTTTATCCAAATGGCTTACATATAACAATGAAAAAAATTGGTGGGTACGGAGATCGATCAATGAAATTTTATAAAATAAAAGCCACCCTAATATACATATATGTTAAATTTGCGAAGTCGTAATAATTGGTTGGTTGATCCACTATGTTTACTGTCAAAAATATAGGTATACATTTTTCTGTTTATTGTTATTAAAATTATTTAAAAATATTACCTAATTTATTTTTAGCAAAGCTGTTTTAAACTTAATGATACATTATTGAGTCAAAGCTATTTGTCTATTTAAACTATTATATCAAACAATATATAAATAAATTATCTTATTTATTGTAAATAAAATATTATTTTGTTGAAGTTTGAGGTTGAGGTTTTTTTACCCAAATTATTACATTTTAAATTACAAATGTAATTATAAGAACTTATTTAAGACTTTATTATTATTATGTTCTATTTTGTTTTGCTTAAACTGTCTCAGTTTGTAACAAAAACATTATGTTTCAAAATGATTGTAAAGCTGTTTTAGGAATATATTTTGTTAGTTGCTTCAGATCTTTCATTTCCTTTTAAAGGATTGGTAAACTTAACTTTTATGTTAGAGTATGTGGTTACTTTATAGGCATTGCGTTTTTTTCTTATTTTAAAATGGTATGATACTTATTTTATCTATATACTCACTTATTACAGTGATTCCGTCCGATACACATTCAAAATAATGATACTTAGAAATTGAAAATTGTTTAGTTTTATTACGCTGATTCTTTGTTTTGTTGCAACTTATACATTCTGTTGCATTTGTATTTTTAATGTAAAATTGAGGAAACCATTTTTGATAATTTAAAATTATAATTAATTTTTGTCAACTAAAAACATTGAAAAAATGTCTAGGTTTCTTGATATAATATAAATATTTAATATAAATGTTTAATATAAATTCTACATATTCATTTAGAGTTTATAGTTGATCTACTTAGTTAAGTTGCGTTTTTTTATTGCAAAGTCTCGATTACATGTCAAAAACAAATGTACTTCATGTGAAAAAACACTTTAAATTTTTTGAATTTTTTCATCTCAACAAGAGCCATAATAATTACACTAGTTTACAAATAAAAAAAAATTGTCTGACCTATGACTTATGATAGTCATTTTTTATGTAAAATCGTCCATTGAGTCCGAAAATGAAGTCTAAAATACAAAAAGTAGAACAGTTTTTGAGTTATTGCGAAATTAGCGTTTTTCGTGTACCGCGAAAAAACGTTTTCATTATATTCTAAATATCTTTAATTGCATTCAACCGATTTTCATTTTTTTTACATAAAATTAAACAATATTAAATTACCTATAACTTTTATCTTAAACAATTTTTTATTTGACTTTTTTGTCGTTTGCTATCTACGAATTTACCACTGAATTTTTATCGTTTTTTTCAAAATATCAGAAAAAATTCAGAGTTTTACGTAAAATACACCAATAAAAAATAAATTTATCAACAATCATTTTAATAGACGTTATACTCTAATACATAACAAAGTAAATGATATATTATTTTGTAAAATTGATAAAAAAAATGAAGTAGTTATGCGCGATTGAAAAATAAAACAAATTTTCTAATATCAAAGTTTTTTAATTCGATGCTTTTATTTTGTAAAATATAGACAAATTACTCACAATATTACTTTTCAAAACAAAATTTTGATTTTTTAAATAACCTAAGGTTATTTCCTTCAAAATAAAATTTAGAATTACGAACAAAAAAACTTCGCCTTGGCCTCACTGCTCATCACTAATTGGTAGCTGTTGGGTAGAGTGTTGCACTCGTGTATGACCGGTTCGAACGTGTTAATGATCCGTCCGGTCATCGTTACTTTCTCAGCGAGCGACACATCCTCTTTGGTACGTAAACAGTACACTCGTTCTCGCGACTACGATCTAATAGTCGTTCCTCAACAATTAAGTAGTGCGTTATCTTCTCTCGTATTCACAGCAAACGCCTACGCGTGTTTGTGCTATTGATCGGCCATAGTTCGCCATATCTTTATTGTTTATGCTCATACGGTTGCGTCTTACATGTTTTGTACTGTATATCCGTGTAAAATAATCCTTCTCGCATATTACGAGTTAGTGGTATCGTTCACGTCGTCATCAACGCTCACATACAGTCCACACTCACCACCATTAATTACCATCTTAACTTATACAGCTAAGTGTTTAATTGTTTGTCTTATTTATTTTGTATATTATCTATTTTGTTCATGGCCGCTTTGTCGGTCAGTATAATATGTAAGTTACCCCCCCTTTCTCTTTACTTTTAAGAATTTCATTTGCAGAATTGTAATATATAATTCATAATTTATACAATCATAAGCAGGTGTACCTATTTATTATCCCCTCTTATTTCCGCATTTTGATTTCAACAAAATAAACAACACCACCGCACAGTAATAGGCCATTCCCCTTTATTATTAAGGGGCTGCTTGTTACAGTAGCACTGTACCTTTTGTCATTTGAAATAAAACGGATAAATTTATTTTGGTCATAGAAGCGTTCTATATTCTATTAATATATTCATTTTTTCTATGATATTTAAATAATTCATATAACTATTTTACGTTTATTCTTAATAAAGATAAAAATGAGTTCGAATAAACGTCAATATAAGTGTAAGAATAACCCCAATAAATTTTGTTATGCGTGAGGCGAATATATTTTTGTTACACCGCCGAATTTTACTAGTACATTGCAATCTGCGTATCGTTTTTACTTTAATATATCTTTAATATTATTTATTGCTATCAATAAACAAACGCCATTCTGTTGGATCATATGGCTCTCCAAATTCTTTAAACAAACCATAAATCTCGTTATAGTAACAAATATTGTTTATTTTTATATAATATTGAGCATAATATTTCTGACGACTTCTGTAAAATGTAACTTTTACTTGTGATTTTAATAAATTTCGTTCTTGCAATCTTGACACCAATAACTCTGATTTTTCCATTGAGAGTTTCAAATTTCTTATTAAATCATTAAATTCAGTCAGTTTGGATAAAAAGCTTCGGAATATTTTCAAGTTTAGAACTAATGTCAGTCTTACAGTCGGCATGATTACTTGATTCGGGCTATTCACTATATTCTTATATAGTCCAGAAGAAGTAGCAATCAACATCGTGACACATAGGCTGTCGCCAAATTGTTGGTACATCAAATGATAAGTATCGTCTAAAGCGAATGNGTCCAGAAGAAGTAGCAATCAACATCGTGACACATAGGCACATAGGAATTATTTAAATATCATAGAAAAAATGAATATATTAATAGAATATAGAACGCTTCTATGACCAAAATAAATTTATCCGTTTTATTTCAAATGACAAAAGGTACAGTNTTTTTTTTTTGCTTTGCGCAGTCATCCACATTGTTAATCCAGTTTTGCACGTGTTACAAAAGACATTTGGCGTCCACGATTCACTTAAGTTCTCTGGAGAAATATTAAAGTAAAAACGATACGCTTCTTGATTGCTAATTCTGCTTGACTATATAAGAATATAGTGAATCGCCCGAATCAAGTAATCATGGCGACTGTAAGACTGGCATTAGTTTTAAACTTGTTATATGAATTATTTAAATATCATAGAAAAAATGAATATATTAATAGAATATAGAACGCTTCTATGACCAAAATAAATTTATCCGTTTTATTTCAAATGACAAAAGGTACAGTGCTACCAATTAGTGATGAGCAGTGAGGCCAAGGCGAAGTTTTTTTGTTCGTAATTCTAAATTTTATTTTGAAGGAAATAACCTTAGGTTATTTAAAAAATCAAAATTTTGTTTTGAAAAGTAATATTGTGAGTAATTTGTCTATATTTTACAAAATAAAAGCATCGAATTAAAAAACTTTGATATTAGAAAATTTGTTTTATTTTTCAATCGCGCATAACTACTTCATTTTTTTTATCAATTTTACAAAATAATATATCATTTACTTTGTTATGTATTAGAGTATAACGTCTATTAAAATGATTGTTGATAAATTTATTTTTTATTGGTGTATTTTACGTAAAACTCTGAATTTTTTCTGATATTTTGAAAAAAACGATAAAAATTCAGTGGTAAATTCGTAGATAGCAAACGACAAAAAAGTCAAATAAAAAATTGTTTAAGATAAAAGTTATAGGTAATTTAATATTGTTTAATTTTATGTAAAAAAAATGAAAATCGGTTGAATGCAATTAAAGATATTTAGAATATAATGAAAACGTTTTTTCGCGGTACACGAAAAACGCTAATTTCGCAATAACTCAAAAACTGTTCTACTTTTTGTATTTTAGACTTCATTTTCGGACTCAATGGACGATTTTACATAAAAAATGACTATCATAAGTCATAGGTCAATTTTATTGTAAACTAGTGTTATTATCCTGAGTGATCCGTGGTTTATATTTTACGCTGCACAATTGTCACAAAATAAATGCAATTCCTCAACATCATCACCAATAAATTTATTGATGTAGAATACCAAAAAAGAGCATTTGAGCAAAAGAGCACCATTTGTTGTGTTACTTACTGTTGCTTCATGATAAATATAACGAAATAAATGATTTATGTTTAAATTATAAGTACTAAAAGTATCCACAGATAATTGACTAGTATAATTATTCTATCGGTATTTTAGTTAAATCTACTACAGCCATAAAGTCAAAGTAGAGGCCTAATAATTGTTTTTATGATATATTTCTGTCGCTTTTTGATAGTATTATAAAATGTTTTGTTCCTATTTTTATGAAATAGTAATTCTGCGGTAGCTACTTTTTTTGCAAAATCATTCAAATCTTTGTTCATAACTTTTGTGTTAAATTCTTTACATTTTGAACAACTATCTTTGGCTGGAGCACCAAAACTCAGCAAAAAATTATTTTTAAAATACTCCTAATTATATTGATATTTTATGTTCCCTTCTAGTTATGGATATTTGTCAACAAAAAATTTGTGTATAGTTTTAACATTTACTCTAGAATCAAGATATTTTATCCCTTATGCTATGTAAGGAATATCTTCTGTTTGGAAAATTTAATATATTTTCGTGTATTTTTTCGACACTATTCAAGTGGCATAGCATTAGTTATGCCTCTTATAGCAACTGGATCCATACTATGCTCTAACAAATTAGCCACCCGTCTCATTGTTTTATAAGAAATATAATGAACGGTGTTAAAAGCCTTTTTATATACTTGAATACGCAGTTTATCTAATATTAAAGAATATTGAACACTTTTCGATTTAGTCTTTTCTTACTCTTCTTCTGTTTCTATTTGAATATCTTGAAAACATTTTTTTGAAAAACTTTAAATAAAAAATATATATATATTATTATAATACACTTGACACGACTTACGTCGCATTAATGTGGTTGATACTGGTTTTGAGAGTAGAGAACAGTGGGCTGTTTATTAATAAGCAACAACAGATCATTTTAAAACGAACAAACTAAAAAGACGAACACAATTAATAATAATCTTCTAATATCGCGACACTTTCGCTGGCGTAGGCGACGTGGTGTCCGATATGATCCTCGGGCGTTAAAAGGTTAGCAGCGTTGATGGTGACAGTATGCGGGTGCGGATCGGTTCACCGAGTCAGGTCGTGTGGCACGTCCGAAGCCAGTGGCCTACATCCTCGACGTTGTCACTTTGACAACGGGAAGAAGACTTAACGTATCATTTGCGTAGGACGTCATTGGGCTTGCGGCACTTGCTGGACTTTGCTCCGTGGCGTATAGCACGCGGTGTTGGTCAGTCAAATACTCATAGTAGGACGACGGCTAATAAAGGTGGCACGAGTCGCGGGGCATCGTGTGACGAGGGGTCGCATCATACTAATCATAATAAATTTAATATGAATAATATGATGGCCCGTCAAAATGATTTATTTTGTATTTTTTTTTTTATATGTCTTAATACTCGTTTTTTACTAATTAATAATAATCTTAAAAAAGTGGCTATAGAAAAAACCCAATTGCAAATTTGAAATTGGCGCAAAGATGGGTCTAGAAAAGTATATTTTGGATCTCTAATGTCAATTCTTTGTAGACCACTAAATTTATTCATAAGTAAAATAAATTTTGTTTTATAAAGTATTACATTTAACCTTTCCATTTTTATACACGTTTGCTATAAAAGTAATAACTACTTTATAATTTTTTACAATGTTTTCGTAAAAAGTATAGTACTAAATTATTAAATAACAATTTTATACTATATTTCATAGTTATATTAAATATTTATTTATATATTACATTTATAAATCATAAAACTCTTGATAAATAAGAAAATAGGAGTTGATGCTTGTTTTTGTAATTATGTACCAATTTCTTAGAATTAAATACTATCTACAGATATTCATCGAAACGTCTTATAATAATGATTGTAATCACTATTATATATCATCTATACTTGTCCCGACTATGCCGTGAAGTTTTTATATCTTACGTTGATAATATAAGATGTGAATTATTAAAAATAACAATCATTGGTTAAAAGGCAATTTTCTATAATGTAATCTATCGTGAAATTGAAATTTTTGTAGGAGAAGAATAATATGTTTCTGTGTATTTCGCAAAACTTAATGCACACTAATAAAGAAAACTTACGTAGCTTCTGGCAAACTTAGTAATTTTTAAGAATGGATGATATAAGATAAAAGTCACTAAATAATAAATCATTTGACTTTTTTTAGAAAGATTCAATGGTATTTGGAGTTTATAACTCGAAATGGACAGAAATGAACTTAGAAAGTAAAAAGCTTGTTTTACTAACTATGATAATGAATAATTCTCATCAATCAAAAATGAAAATATCTAAATATAAAATCGTCGATTTAACTATGTTTTTAGCTGTATGTTATAAAAATCGCTAAAAAATCTTTTATTATATTTATTTAATTATATAAATTTTCAGGCATTAAAAATGTGTTATTCGGTACTTTCAGTGTTAAAGAATACACAACTAAGCAATAACCAAATTTAAATGATGGATACAAAAGATGGATACAAAATATTAAAAAGGGAAAGAATAAAAATTAAAATTAAAACGTATAAAAAAGCTAGTTAAAAATATATATATAAATAAACTTTTGTTTAGATTCTGTATATTTAGTAATAGGATACAAAACATTATTTGCGGGTGTAAATTTAAAATTTTCTATGTGAGTGTACTGTAAAAATCACTTTTTTTGCTATTTAGGCTATACATTTGTCTAGCTAATAAAAAGTTCAACACGTTAAAAATCAAATAATTTATTCAGTAAATAAGTTTTATATAACTTCAAAATATCACTATGGAAAACCTTAGAGATCACTATATTTAATATTCTTAATTTTTAAACAAAAAGCTTCTATCTTAAGTTAAAAACTACCTTATTATAAACTAATTGTTCTTTATGATAATATACTTTTTTATAGCTTATATTTTATTTTCAGTTTTTGTGCTTAAAGATTCTACAGAATTATCCAGTTCCAACTGTAGTTTTTTAATATTATTTTTGATTACCAAGTTTCATCTTAATTAACTACTGATATAAATTCTGGTTTAATTTAAAATTTACTATTTGTACATTTAAAACGAATAATTTATAGATGAAAAATATTCGAACATATTTGAATTTGCTCTCCTGAAAAATAACATATTTTCACATAGAACCTATTGAATTTAAGTCCCCAAATTGTTTTAGTAGATTTAGTATAGTGTAGGGAATGATTAATTTTTGTTAAATAAATTACATAATAAAAATGATGAAAAGCTAATCTTTAAATATTAATGTTACTGTTGGATCTTTTTTAATAATTTATTAGGAGCTCTCAAAAGTTACATAATCATATACATATCTATTGTGTTAGATCCCGGATTACTTTTTGATGACTCTTTTTAATGGTTATTATTTATGAAATAATAACAAATTTGGCCAAAATAATAAGATCAAAATGACCAAGTAAGGAGTTAAAACTCGTTTAGACATAATATAGGAAAGCATAGTATGCACAGTGAAAGCAATGATAATGGATTGAGATTAATATACTTCGCCTCAACCAAAGGATTAGTAATAAGTAGTAACCAGTTTCAACGTAAAGAAATTTACAAACAAACTTAGGTATCTCCAGACGGAATAACGAAAAATCAGATTGACCATATACTTATAGATAAAAGATACAGAACTAGTGTTAGACAAGTCAGAAGCTATAGAGGAGCAGAATGAAACACATACCATTATCTGGTCATAGCATCATTTAAAGTCAAACTGGCTAACAGTTGGAACCAGAAAAAAATTAAAGGGTAAAACACGTCTGGAAATAGAGAAAACTAAGAATCAAGAGAGAGTCAAAATATACCGAGGTAATCTAAATGACGAACTTACGAAAAGATCTCAAAATTCAGAGAAAAGCCTTGATGAAAGACGAAACATAGTTAAAAACTTATTTAATAAATCAACTAAAATTTTTAAAAAAGAAAACACATCTAACAGTAATTACTCATGGTTTAATGATCGGTGCATGGAAGCTATAGAAAGACGTACAGAAGAAAGAATAAAAATAATATAAGACCCATCTCTTAATAATATAGAAGAATTTATTAAAAAAATAGCAAGTAAAATATTGAGACAGGAAAAAAGATCAGCGGAATAGAACTTATCCAAAAAATAGAAGAACATAGGCTCAACCCAAGATTATTAAAAAATGCAGATCGATAAAGGAAGATTTTAAAGTTGAAACCCGTATAGTCAAGGATCATGATAGAAACTCGATTATAAATGAAGAGGGCATCATTCAAAAGTCTCAAAAGCATTTTGAGAATATCCTAAATATTGATCACGAAGATATGGAGGAAAGTGAAAGTGTGATATATTATACGGCACAACCTCTCCTCGAAAAACTAAACCGTGAAGAGGTTGAGGATCTAATCGGGATTTTGAAAAACAATAAAGCCCCAGGCGAGAATAATATTAATTGTAAACTGATAAAGATCGGTACTCAACAACTTGTGATCAAAATGTACGGACTACTAAAAGAAATATGGACCACCAACCAAATACCTAAAGATTAGACAACAGCCATCATCTGACCCATATTAGAGAGGAGTGATTCTATGGATACAAGTAATTACAGAGAAATTGCCCTATTAGTCTCCTGTTACAAAATACTATCCCTGGCATTATTACGAAGATTGGAAGTTTACTATAGAGACATAATTAGAGGCTATCAAAGCAGTTTTTTAAGAGGAAAGTCCACTTCTGACCATATTTTCACAATCAGGCAAATAATGGAAAAATTTTATGAATTTGTAAAGATGTCCACATGGGCTTTGTTGACTTCAGGCAGGCATACGACAGCATAAATAAACTTATCTGTCTGATAAAGAATGTAACACGCATACCTTGGCTTGTTTTGAAAGTAAAGTACTTAGAAGGATATATGTACCTATTTTAGAAAATTAAGTGTACAGAAATAGAACTAATAGAGAAGTACAACAAATTTACCAAAAACCTGGTATTAATGCTTATCTCACGAGTAAACAATTAGAGTGGGCAGAGCATGTATGGTGGTCAAATAGAATTTTAAAGAAAGCTCTAGAAGGGAAGATAAATGGGAAAATACCTAGGGGGCGACCCCTAGGCAGCACTAGAGAGACAGGGTCAACAATGATATCAACAAGTGCACCCAGGGAATGACAATAGCAGACAGCGTTGATAGAGTAGAATAAAGTAGAGGCAGCGAAAGTCCTTCAAGGATCGTAATAACTCAAGAAGATAACTTGGAAGTAGTTCATAGTTTTAATACCAAAATCTGATATAACTTAATTGTTATGTTAAACAGTGATCGGTTTATCACCAACTACTTGATTACTCGCAAAATAAATGCAACAATGAGGAAAAAATTAATGTTTTTTTAGTTATGTATATTTCTTGATTTATAAGCTATAAATTACTTTTTAGGATCATACTTTATAACTTATAGGTGTTTCAACTTCATTTTTATTATATAGCAACATATATATTTAACTAGTTTATAAAATAGAAAATAATCCATTTAAACAAATGACTGGTCGATAACAACTTTTGAACCAGTATTTAAGAAGTTATTAAAAATTTAAAGAATTGATTGATAGTGAGGAGTAGGTTATTTTTATCACAAATCGATTCCAGGTCATACTCTTATTTTTGCCTAGGTATAAAAATGAAAACAACTTCCGAAGTACTAATCCAAAGGTTTTTATCAACCAGTCATTTTTTTAATTAGATCAATACTAAGATCTAATTAAACTAGTTAATTATCTATTTTCATATTTAAAAAATAAAGTTGACACACATAAGAGTTATAAGGGATGATTCTAAAAAATAATTATTAGCTGATAAATAAAAAAAAAAACGGTAGCACAGTGGGGTCGAGGCACAGTGTGGACGAGGCATAGATGGGACAAGTATAGATGATATCTGACAGTGATTAAAATCACTATCATAAGAAACGCTTCGATGCAAATCTGTAGATAGTGTTTCCTTTAGAGAAATTGGTGAAATATTTTAAAAGCAACATGAACTCTTATTTCTTTAATTATATCCTGATTAGTAGTTCTTTGATTCTAAAATATAATATATGAATAAATACTAATTATAGTTTTTAAATTTAGTATGAAATTGTGTGGCTAGCTATGATGTATGGTTCATAGTGTTGGGCGGTTGATGAGAAAGTAGAGCAGAGAATAAGTGTAGCAGAGATGAGAATGCTTAGTTGGATGAGTGGAGTGACTAGAGAAGATAGGATAAGGAACGAGCATATAAGAGGAAGTATAGGTGTTGCGTCAATCGTGGATAAGATGACAGAAAATAGACTTAGATTGTTTAGTCATGGTATGAGGAAAGAAGAATCGAAAGCTGTAAGAACAGTTATAGAAATGAATGTTGAAGGAAGAAGAGATAGAGGAAGACCAAAAAAGAGATGGAGGGATGCTATTGAATGCGATTTGAGGACAGCTGATGTGAGCGTAGAAGATGTGGGAGATCGTGTCAAGTGGAA